AAAATCTTAATTCTATATTCTAGAATTTGATAAATCTTACTATGAATTACGCTTGAGGAACATTGATACTTGCAACGTAGCTTTTTGATACACATATACCATTTCGTTGTAAACGGGCATTCACACAGTCGCAAACACGAGGCGAGACACGTGCGAGCACGCGCATATCGTTGGGGAGCGACGTTTCAACTGGAAAACTGACAGGGGGTCGTGATCGATCGGCTCATCAAACATCTTGCCATATTGTTGACTGAATCCCTTCCCCGTCTCCGGGAAAGACCGAGCGAGAAAATGTGTCGGCTAGACTGCAGTGTCTATTTTTATTACGCGGCTTAACCTGACGGCGATTCCGCAAACCGGAGACTGATGATGTTTTATACACGGCTGTGTGGAGATAAGAGGAACGACCAAAAAATCGTCTATAAAATTAATATGGACTTTTCATCCCTCCTACAAAAAAAAGCTATTTTTTAATTTATCAGATCTTTATAAAAACAGTATTATAACTGGCAACGTGTCATGCCGATTATTTAACATTATTTAATCATGATCCTCTCCATGATCAAAGCTTTATTCGATACCTAGACTCGACGTAATGAAAAGTCGAAGCATTCAAGTTCGTGAATCCTTAGTAACTTTACGAATAAGGAAAATGGCAAATCAGATTGGAAAACCGAGGTAGTTTGAAACAGTAACCCGAGGCGAGTGTAGCTCGGACTCGGGTGGCACGTGTCGAGGCAAATGAAAGAAAAATAATAGTTAAATCGACGATTTCGGATACTATCAGGGCTCGTGAAAATCCGGAGGCAAAGATCGGTCAGGAGTTTATCTAAAGTGAGGCCTGCGACTTGGCGGAGGGGATCGGAGTCACGCGTCGTGAAATAAGTATGCATGAAGTTAACTCGGGGCCGTCTGAAATATTAAACAGCCTCAGACTCTCGGCCAACCGGGAACGGGGAAACTGTTTACCTGTAGGAAGCGACCGCGAGGGGATAGGCGGCCGCGTTAAAATCCCGACCGGGCCGCGCCGCGTTTGATAAATAATGCGGCTCGCATTTTGCGCGGGAAAACTTTTGGATTGTAAGTTTTCGTAGTAAGAAGGAGCCGGTTGCGCCGGCAATTCAATTCAGACACCCTCGAAACGAATTTTCATTCGAAAGTTTGCCGGACTTTTAATGAAAGGAAATGCGACGACGTGAAATATCTTATCGCGTTTCACTGATCCCTTTCGACGATTGATAACTAATTAAATCTGAAGAGATCCAGGAAAATGGAACGTTATCGGCAATATCGATTATCATTTACACAATCTATTGATATTTGTTTCCACTTTATCCACTATTCTTTGTTCGTCGAATTGGGAGGCTGGTCCAACCTCGCGCGAAATTGTAGAAAATTCCTAAATGGAGTCCACTTCTGTGTATCCGAGGGGGAAGCACAACACGGGGCTGATGCGGCGGGTATCCGTTAAAATATTAAAAATACGTAGCCGACAGTTTCGCGCGGGGGCAAAGATTGCGAAGTTTCGCGGCGGAGGATTCCTTACAAAGCCTGACTTATTTAGCCCGGAGCCGGGTGTCTGCCTGTAACCAGGATCCCCTCCGGCCCCGCCAACCTACTTTCCACCCCCGTGATCCACGATTTGCACGAGGCCGAGGATGGTGGCGGTGGTTGTGGCGATGGTGGTGGAACGAAAGACTGCAGGAGCGCGGTGAAAGGACGAAATGCTCTTTTGTGGCCGCCCTCCACACCGGGAACTTTATTAATTGCGCGTTTTGTTATGCAGATGCCTGCAGACCGAGCCACCACCAGTTCTCCACCTCCTCTCTCTCTCTCCACCTCCGGCTCCTTTTCTTCTGTCTTCGACAGGGGCGAGCTTTCTCTCTACGGCCCGTGTGTCCAGGACCTTTAAAAGATTACTTTATCTCGCTCTCTCTCGCTCTTTCCCCTGGAATTCGTCGCCTTCAATCCTGGCGAAAGTTCTTCCCACCCCATTTAGGCGCGCGCGGAACTTTCGCGTCCTGCTTGCGAAACGGCCTCGCGCGACTGCCGGCCCGGTGAAAGGTGAAATTAGTCTTTCGTCCTGGAATAACATATTTTCTGGATTGTTTATTTCTCTCTATACATTGCCACTACTTACGATTAGAAAATGAATATCATTGTGGAAAAATGAAATGTTCTACAAATCTTAAGAGATTGAACAGATTTATGCATTCTTGTTTCGCGAGCGCAAAACAGGGGGTGATTCAAGGCTTAGCTCGTACATTATGTCAACGTTTAAGAAGCGAGCAGTGAGAAAAGAAATCCAGCCTTTGTGCCGAGAAACTTCGCTCTCGGGAATTCCGGTCTCCCGTAACGGGAGGCAACATCCAGCTGCTTTTAATTTCCAGTTGAATAAAAAAAAAAGAAGCAAGAGGGAATGAAGAATAGGTCCTCGCGTCTCCTAGCGACTATTCGCGAAAATTGAACGTCACTCTTTCGCAAACGAGACATTTAGGTTCTCTTACGGACTTTTAAATAAGCGGAGAATTGCCGGACGTTCCGGTGATTATACACGCCGTCCATCGAGACAATTTCTATTTTACAACCATGAAAAAGTTTCGTACACTCAATATACATATAATTATTATTAATAATTATTTATTCACTGGTAAAATTAAATGTTGAGAAAGGCGAAGTGTCGAAAGTTATGTTCATGCGATCATTATTGTTACGAATATGATAATTAAAAATGCGAATGGTTTAGAGAAGAAAGAATAAGAAAACCGATAAGGGAGAGCATTTAAAATACAAAAGAAATGATTGAGAGCAAAAGGACGGAATGCTTTTAAGTTCTTATTAGGGTGTATTTCCCTGAGGGATATTTCATTTTAGCTCGCCATTCTCAGACCAAAAACAAATTTCTACAAATAGAACGACAATAGCTTGTTTCTGTTCCCTTTGTTCCTGCCAATATTTCTGATTCTGTATCTCTGCCATGTTTACATACTCTAATTACAATAATTGAAAATGCACGATCTAATCTCGCTCGCTCCATTGTTTTTAAAAATCATGCTAAACAACCTACGAAGAATTTGCTATATTGACGATCAATTAACTTATTCTACCATCGTCCGAAGCTCGACGAAGCGAATAAATTACGCGACTTCAGAATTCGTTATTTGCCGACACAATGCGCAGACACGTACAGATTATTCAGTATAGGCACTGGTTCGCATGAAATGAGAGTTTACTACGGTTAACGGATTGCGCAATCAGAGGCGTGCTTATCGAAAGATGCGCAGTATCTTTTTAACATGTTAACATATACTACAACATATTATGCAAGATAAATGTATGAACTACGACACATTATATTCAAAATTTATGTAAATACAATAAAATATTGTATACATAAAAGAAAATTGTATTGTGAAACATATTAATTGTAAAAACGACTAAAAAATTGAAATGTGATATCGATAATGAGGAGAAACGTGTCATTGTTAACGTTTTCTTCTTTTTGTCGGTCCTGAAGCCAAACGGCAAGGTGTTCCTCCCCGCATACGCTTTCCAGCATCGCTTGAGCCACTACCCCCCGACCTGTTGTATATTAAATGGTGTTCATGGTTCGCCAGTCAAATTGAATTTCAGGCTATTGGCAGATTCTCAATAAGCTCTAACAATAGAGTCTGTTACACGAGCCTTTCTACTTTCCGCCGCAGAGCCCTTTCCTCCTTCTCACTTTCGGCGAAGCCCTCAATCGGCCCCACTTTTTCTTCTTCCTTGGTTTCCTTCAATTTCCGCGGAACAGAAAGTCGCGAGCTTTCGGAAATTGGAAATAAATCGCGATAGGAAACTCAGAATCTTAATGGCCAACGATACAAGATTATGGAAATATTTAATAATCAAAAATGTCATGTAATTTTGTGACTTCTTTGAAGACATTTAATAACAAATATGTAAATATATGTACACCCTGTCGTACATTTGTTTTATCGTTTCAAAAAACGATTGACGAGATTCGAAAGGAGCATAACAAAAAATAGACATCCAACTTTACAAAACAGTAGATGATTTTTTTTCTGGATAAAAGATACCTCGTAATCCAGCATTTGGTACAGCAAAAAGGCAGGAAAGACAACTCAGACGAGGAGTAATTAAACGATTACCGGTAGGAAGAGGAGGATTTTTCGTCATAGCGGAGATTTAATTGGTCGAGATGTAGCGAGAGGAGGATAGGCGGATTGCATTGTCTGCAGGATGTTAAGAGGGTTAGCTCCCGAAGTATGGTAGGGCGGGTGAGTATCTCTACTCTGTACTCTCTACCCTGTACTCGGTGGGCGTGCAAGGGGGTTGCCGCCGTCAGTGTAATGAAGAGCGACAGTTGCGCCCGGAGCCATCGCTAATTTGCCGCTAAGTGGCCGGCTTTGTTTCCGTACGTTGATCCCATCGCTCGCAATATCCTGGATCTCTGAGGCGTCGTTCAAGAGAGGCATCCAAATAACCCGCGGCCTCGTCTCCTCGCCGCAATTCACTGCCGGCTAATTTCGCCGACCGGGCCAAGCGAACGAAGAAAAAAGGGAAAAAGAAAGGAATCGGAAACCGGTTCCGATCATCGTGACTCAACTCCGATTGTTCGGTAAACAGACGAGAAAGGAGAGAATCGGGAAGAATTCCGATACAGTGTCGCGTAGTCAAGTACAGAAAAAGAAGATACAATTATATAATACCGAACCGATGATTCTCATACTTGCGTAATAAGTCGCAATAATAATTGTCGTCATAAAGCGTTAAGACGAGAGGCGAAGCAAGGTCTTCCACTTGATCGCATATTTCAGATTATGTAAAATAATACAAGAGTAAAGATACCTCATCATCTCTGAGAAGAATAAAGAAACTAGTAAGTAATAATTAATGTAGTTACATTTCTGATTCAGCTGTTCTAAAAATAAGATAAGGGGACACAAACAGCTGATAGCAACTTCACGCGGCGTTTACTACTATATATATAACGACAGTTATCAGACAGACGTTCAGTTCTCGATCAACTACACACGGAGATCGTTATTACAAGACAAATTGCGAACATCCTGCCGTCGAGATGTATCTATCCGTCAGCCTCGCGCTGGTGGCAATAGCCATCGCCATTTATTATTATATCAGCAAGAAACTGGATTTCTTTGAGAAGCATGGTATTCCGCAAATTCCAGCAGCGCCTATCATTGGCAATATGGGCCCTGTGGTGGCTCAAAAATGCACGATGCACGAGCTGCTGCAGAAGCACTACGACAACGAACCGGATGCGAAGTACGTCGGCTTTTACGAATTCACCACTCCAGTAATCATGTTGCGCGACATGGATCTCATCAAAGCGGTGGCCATCAAGAATTTCGAGCATTTTCAAGATCATCGGCAGTCCGTGACCAAAGAAACGGATCCCATTTTCGCTAACGTGTTATTCAATAGAAAGGGCGACGACTGGAAACACCAGAGGACCCTGCTGACCGCCTCGTTCACTTCTAGCAAGTTGAAGGACATGTTCCATTTGATGTCTTCATACGCGGCAAAATTCACAGATACGCTGGCCCAACTGCCGGAAAAGGATCGCGAAATGGAGATGAAGAATCTCTTGACCATGTACACGAATGACGTGATCGCCAGCTGCGTGTATGGGTACACTATAGACACCGTGAAGGAACCGAAGAACATATTTTACGTCTACGGTAAAATCGGAACGAGTTTTGCTACCCTTAAGAAGTCACTGATTCTTTTGTTGCAAAGAAATTTTCCTAAGATCGCGGCATTCTTCAACATAAAATTGTTAGAGCCGTACGTCGCCAAATTCTTCACTAATGTAGTGATCGACGAGGTGAAAAACAGAGAGGAACACGGCTATTCCCGGCCCGACTTCCTCCAGCAGATGATGGAGATACAGCAAAAGAAGGACAACAATTTTAGTATAGAAAATATGGTAGCGCACACTTTCACCTTCTTTTTCGGCGGTCTAGACTCCGTATCCACGCAGGCATCCTTGGTGACGCAGATGCTGGTCGAGCATCCTGAAGTTCAGGTGAAAGTGCAACAAGAAATCGACGTGGCATTGGAGAAGACCAATGGCGAGTTTACTTATGAAGTAGTACGCGACATGAAGTATTTGGAAGCAGTGATCACCGAGACGATGAGGTTCTACCCGGTCCTACCGAACCTGGACAGAGTTTGCATGAAAAAGTTTGAGCTTCCACCAGCTTTACCTGGTGGCAAACCTTTCACGGTTGAACCAGGAATGGATGTCTGGATTCCGGTGATGCCAATTCATATGAATCCGGATTATTATGAAAACCCGGAGAATTTCGAGCCGGAAAGATTTATGGATGATGGAAAGAAGCTCGTGAATTCGTGTATGTTTCTGTCGTTCGGAGCCGGACCTAGAATGTGCATCGGTTCGCGTTTCGCGATGATAAAGATGAAAGTACTGCTCTGTTATCTCCTCGCTAAATTCGACATAACGGCTGGGTCGAAGACGCAAGGCTCATTTCGATTGAAAAAGGGATTCTTCAACTTAGTACCAGAAAACGGGTACTGGATGAGACTTGAACCGAGGAAAAATCCCCATCCTTCTTTCAAAACGAAAGGAATAGTTAACGGAACGTCGAATGGAGTATGCGCAAAATAATCTCTCTCCTTTTTTACGTTATGTAATGTGCAATAATTTTTTAATCTCGGTGCAATTATACAGTATAATTCACTAATTTTTATGAATGTGATAATGTTGTTTTCTATGTAGATGCGTATGAATGAAATGCTAGTGAGAACTGTTTTAAATAAAACACGCCTTTCTAACATAAAAGAATTCTACGTCATTCATTGCAACGTTTTCATTTATTACGCATCAGCAAAGCATTTTAACGAACATGATTGAATCGTTGATTACATAACTCATGATATTTTATCATCTCCCAATCTCGATAAAAACCAGATAA